CAGCCATATTTGATAACATCTCAAGCTACAGAGTTTCAACATCTTTAGCTTCCCAATCGATGAGCTGTGATGGACCGACAGGTGTCATCGTTACATAAAATTCCTTTTTACCACTGATTCATATCATAAACTAACCATTACTTCGCTTTTCTCACCGTTCTAGTGTCGTCAATTAATGACCGACCTTCAAACTGGAATAAATCTCACACAAAGTCTTTGCGAATATACCATTTGTTTTAAACTTATCAATATATATATCGCTAAGTATCCAAACAATGAAATGAATTAATTTATATTTGTCTTTGTATACCAATTATTCATTATAGTTGACCAATCCAATTCCTTTTTTCATCAATAATTATTAACAAAAGCAACAGTAATGGTAGTAGTATGTATGGATAGAAAATAAGAGAGAAAGTAGTCAAATAGTCAATCCGCCTATGCTTCCCTCCCTCTTTTTCCACTTTTTATCTCGAAAAAGAATGAAATTTTTACGAAGGTGAAAATAGTAAATCCAAAGGGACACTGGACCTTATAGTCTATTACTATTAATTTACTTGAAATTCAATAGTATATTTATGTATATATTCAAGGCAAAGTTCAAATTACCTCCAAATTATTTTCTTTATGTTTTGTTTTAAAATATTACCTCCCATTTCATATCACCTATGTCATTCATTTATTCATTAGAAATGATTAAATTTATAATAGGTAAGAATAAATTAATAAAACAAATCAACAGTTGATAGAATAAAGGAAATTGAATCTTAACTGAGTACAAAGTGAAAAATAGACAATAGGTTAATGAGTCTGTTGCATTGATTTTGTTTTAATCTATGATTGTCACATTACTGAATGTCATGAATCTTATTTGATTAACTATAGCTAGTATGCATAGATTCTGACGAAATATTAATATTCTAACATATTTTAAATGAGATTAGTCAATTACAGTCTTTAACGTTAACCATGGAAAAGTATGAACCCTTATGAATTGATTTTTACTTATCATCTAACCTACTAGCTATTTAAACTCTATAAATAATGAGTTGATGTTTGAAGTGAAAGGTGCTAGATTTGAGACTTGGAGATAATATCAATATTCTGGAATCCAGGTATACCAAGCTAACCAGTTTCAAATTCAATGAGAAATCTACCCTGGATTACACCATTAATTGCAAACATATTTTAATCAATCGTTGAAGTTTACGTTTATCTTTATTACATCACTAAATTTATTTATGTAGGAATTTTTCACTACTTCCGTGATTTGGTTTTGAAGAATTACAGGTTCTGAGTAGCTGATGAAATCTGGAAAAGTGAAGTGAACTCATGTTCTTTCGTTGTCGTTATTTATTTTCAAGCTCATGACGAAAAAGATGGGAAAAAATTGGATGAAGTTTTAAACTTATGATGGAGCAGTAAAGGTTGAAGTGATTAAATTACACACTTGCAACCCTATCATAAGGGATGCTGAGATTAAACTACAATTTACAGTAAGAAAGCAATAATATCAACCGTAACCATCAATACTAAATGGGTACTTTTAATTGGTGATATAGCTATTGAGCATCGTTAACTTCAATAAGTGATTATTTGTCGTCTCTCCTGACTACCACAAAAAAATAAAGTAGAACTTAAATCAGATAACCATAGAAACAGTGATTTATGGTCGAGCCGAACCTAATACACGAATATTTATATGTATACATATACGGAAAATATTTTCAGTTGTATTTCCTGAGCGGCGCACATTTATAGGACTGATAACCATTACAACCAGCAGTGAGTATGATACATGTAGACCAATAGTTGAATATTTTAAATTCTAACCAAAGAATAATATAACATGATGACCATCCAATGTTGTGTGCGATTACTGTCTCACTTTCAGAACGATCAACTTCATCATTCATGAATTCCCGAAAGAACTTTGATAATTCATCTCATAGCAAGTCACTGATGAGCACTACATATTTCTTACTGATTACGGTCATCAACAAAAATTATTTGATAAATACTTTATACGACTCATAGACTTGAAAATAAGCTCAATAGAAGTTTGGTTTATTGATGTATGATAATTCTGTAGATTTTGCACTATTATTTCAAGAGGCATACCACCAGTTGAATGGTCTTTAACTTTTAGAATGATAACTCCAATTATAAAACTGATAGAATGAAATTCAGTAACGATTAGATGATTTGCCGACAAGCTATAAACCTAATCTGTTTTTAATGTCTATGATTGCATCACTTAAATGTTCCTATCTTAATGAATGGAATCAAACTTAGGCCTGTGATCCATTACATGAAAATCAATTTTCATAACCAATCATTCACAGCTTCATAGATAACGATAGAAATACTGAAAACCTAAATAAACAGCAATTCAATTCATCGCAAACTATCTCGTAATTTGTTGGCACTATATGTGCTGACAAAATGAATTATCAATCCAGAAAACAGTATTACAGCAATGAGAATACAAACAGCATAAAATGGTTGTACGCGTTTTTCACTACCAATGAACTGTTGAGAAATATCTCTAGCCACTTTAGGCAAAACAGTCATTTAACAAATATTGTAACTGTATAAGTTACATAGATGTGAATTTGAATTTCAACAGCGAAAAGCTATGTGAAAAACATTGCAATAACATGAGAATATTATTCTTTCAATATAAAAACTTTTTTAAAAATACCCAATCTACTGGACAGTATTTTGGTAAAAGAAAACCTAAATACTTCCGTATAACCCACTATAATCACAACTTTAGAGAATAAGTGTGTTTATTAACCATACGACATAAATCAAGTTCATGAATCAGTGATGTTAAACTGGAATGATAAAATGTTCAGCCTACTAAGTAATAGAGTGTTAGAAACTTAGAAAGTAAATAAAACTTTCTGCATCCAATTTAAGAATTGGGAATTTCACATCATAAATGAGTATGAGTCAGGAAGTTAAATAAACTCCAAACACAAAAGCTAATTAAACAGACAGAAAATATACAGAAAAAAATGACCATTCAGTGCTTTCATGTTTGAATTTATGATTTTGTACCAAACAATTACTTCACTCTAAGCTATCAAACTTACTTCATTATTAGATTATTAAATTTCACAGAAATTTATTGTATGAAAAATATTCAGTTCCAAAGCAAGTTTGTGATTGGCATTCAACAGAAAAGATTGCTAAATATCATTTCTAATTGATTACTAAACAGTAATGGACAACCTAATACCATAAAACTTGGAATATAAACCATAATATTTGTAATTTAGTAAGTTTCTACCGTCTATTTATTAAGATGTAACCCACATACTTTATAGACTGTCTAGATTATTAAGCTTTTTTAATACTTCAACAATACAGTGAACTCTCTCAGAATAGTATTCCTAATTCAATATTAACACATTCAATTTACTTAGATGTATTTCCAAGTTGCCTTTAAAGTTTATTACCTTGCAAATTTGCCACGCAATCATAACTCGAATTGTTTCTGATTTCAAACCTCATTAGTTCGTTTAACGAAAGCCAAAAAAGCAATCACATCACCGTCCAAATAATTCTAACACTCTACCTGTATATTAGTACAATAAATAAAATATATAGGTTGTCTAGTTACGTTTGATAACCTTTTTCCCAACTATTCAACTAACAGAATGCCTGTACGCTGAAAGCTTGACAAATAAAAATAGAATCGTAGTTACACACAACTAGTGACCGTTCAGAACGACGAAAATATCATATTACCAACATGGTATCTCAATGTTATACTCACTGGTATCCTTGGTTTAAAGTACGTAACTTCTCTCCAATTTATGTGCAAGACAGTTAAAACTTTAAAAAGACCAACAACAGAACACTATCTAAGATTTATCAGTCAAAATAAAACTTTGATACTTGGAATAAGCCCAAACTCAAGTGATTTGGGGCTAAAAGTTCAGGAAAAGAGTTACGTTTGGGAATAGGATCGATAATAAAGGTAGTTAGTGTAAAACTTACATGGCTTTCACAAAAATCTATTCCGCTACATTATATTAACGCAACTGAAGGAATGAACTTCCCCTCAGGAAACGACAACATAAAATTCTTGAAGACAACCGTCAAGAGTCGAAAGCATTCTAACAGTACCTTGAGTAACTGCCTTCAGAAGACTGCAGTCAAAACCGACTCAAAATTTTCTAATAAGTCGTTTGGTGTCAAAAATGGTTCCAGCAAAACTGTCAGTTTGAAGGATGAGCTACGATCTCGAACTTTGTATACATAATGGTTTTAATATGAATCGTTGTTGCGTGACATAAGCATTAACACAGGTCCTCGTTGCACATTAATAGTGTTTGTTGATTTCACCAAAAACCGAACATTTTGAGAAAAAATACCATCGTCAACTATGCTTATCAAAGCTAACAAATACATTCAGGGAACAATTATAGTCTGGTTTTTCTGTTGTTAAAACAATTGGTCAGATCATCTGCCGCATTACATTATAGTTGATTGATTTCACTTTGAATTAAAAAAGCAGCATACGACTTTGGTCTAGATACTTTTGGTTCAACAGTTCAGTATCAACATTTGGGAAAACAAACCAAATTGAGAAGCACTTGTTCGCACCATACCTTAAGAGGTATATAGTCATAAAAACGTACACAATGTGAGTAAATCTTCTGTGTACTACGTTTTTGACATCTTGCCTCTTAATTTAATTTACGAGAAACAATGATCTGTCACATGGAAGACTGAAACTCAAAGGGTAGTATTTTATGGCTCATGAACCGTTGTTCAAGTACAGATATTTGATTGATCAGAAATCACAGTATCCAAAAGTCACCATCTTAAATGTGTAATAAGGTTAAAAAATAAAATTCCTATTGACTGCAATGTTTCAAGCTCTTTTTGGGAATATAAATGAAAAGAATTACACAAATATTTCTTACGAACCAATTATAATTGTAATCCATGCACAAACGTCTGAAAACAATATAAGAACTTACTATTCACACCTCTATTCTTAAGAATACTTTTCATATCTGCGAATTGTTCAGCGTCCAACAGGTTTATTCCTAACTGAGAAAAATTGTAGTAAGTCCTGTTTAAGGCTAAATTTAAAAGTGACGTAAAGGAAAAACATACATGACCTTGAAAAGCTAAGCACTGAAACCAAAGTACAGCCAACGTCTATATTAATTGACCTGTGTTAGTCGTTTCTAAAAATACTTCCGTACAAACAGATTATGCTTAATTCTGTTGGCAGATAATGCTGGTAATACTTATTTGAGTCAGTCTTTTCTTTGAGTTGTATATTATCAATGTATGTGGTCCATAAGATGACTGTAGTTTTCTCGAGGTGAACGAGACTTGTGTGACCTCCTAGCTTGCAATGAATTTAACTCTCCCAATTAATGTCTGGCGTGGATTACTTTCTCATGATATTTAGATATTGTGACTACTTTGGTGATCGAATAAAATTAACGTAACGTTATATATGAAATGTATCAGTTTCAATAGATTGGCGATAAAGACTACAATCAGTGCCGCATAGGCCAGAACTTGGCGTGCAAAGTTCACCTCGACTATGGTGAGTAAAGGTGAGTTGTTCGACATTCTGTGACCTGCATACTTTATGATATGACTAGGGCTCAGTGAAATTTCGTTGGCCCTATAGGGTAATCACCAAATGTGAAATACGAGGCCCTATGATGATTCTTATTGACTGAGGTATGAAAATCATTCCCAAGTATAATGAATGGACATATTGACACCAATATTATGAAGATGCCACAGGTACTCAGTGTTTGACAACGCTTTAACCAGTAACACCTAATATGAAGCGTACAAACCAAGTGAAATCAAAAGACAGAAGCGAGGAAGCTCGAAGATGTATCTGATAGGCTGTCAATATATCGGGGATCGTTTCATTTATTCTGGCTAGCGACTTCAGGGGTTGTTGTGCACGGCGTTCCCACTCGTGACTTGGTGCGGATACATGACTGAGCACCTACAGCTAAGTGAGTACATTTGAACTAATGTGGTCAGCATCCAATATCGAAAACTTACAGAGCTATTTATTTTGGAGATTTATTTACCGCTATAACTCATTTGACACATTCGAGAGTTCTATCATATTGTTAGCTTGCTCATAATCATCTTTTAACTGCTAACAAATCATAGCTTGTAATCAGTTCGATGACGGCACTGGAGTTTCGGCTGCTGTATCATGTTCGTTTTACTAAGCGTTTTGATATTTTGAGTCTATCACATTTAATAATCATTTTCTTGTTTGACCGTGTCTGATATGAATGACCTAACATTTTCTGTTACTTGCAATAAACGTTTGCTGTCTTGAACAGTTAACCCTTACCTCGAAACTACTTTATTAGTGACATTTTTCACATCCTTATATGAGAACTTCTCTACTCATTCTGAAGTTGTCATAATATATTTTTAATGTTTTGACACCGTAATGATCTATAGTTGATCCCACAAGTTTGCCGTTGTAGCGGTAAATGTGGTTGCTAAAGTACGAAGCGTTCAAGAATATTTGTACAAATATTCACCCATTTAGCACCACTCGTCTGCATTGCTTATTAGGGTTTCTAGTGTTACTATATTAAATATATTGTTCATTTTCGATTTTATATATCTGAGCTGAAGTGAACACTAAATATTTCTACCGTCCAGATCAACTGTGGGTACCGCGAATTTTGGAAACTAAATTTGGACTGGGCTCATGAATTAGGGATTCTAAGTGGCTCTCACTTATCTAGGGCACAAAAACTGAAGTATCTTCGTTGGGGTATTTGGAGGTTTGGAGTAGTCACTTAAGAGTGCGGAATCTTAAACGTTGCTACAGTTCCAAATTTAGATATTTTTACATCATGGCTAATATGCGTATCTGGTTCTTCTTGCCAATGGACTTATAGGAGCGTTATTGTAATGATGATGTATTGTTGATCATTACTGCTACCTATGTTTACTAAACAATTTGACTTACCAAGTTTTAAACAGATGAGATATCAAAGGCCAGTTTTGATGTCACATGTGACAGCGCTTGTTCAATATCTCAATAGTTATACCGTAGGACACATTAATATAAATAATTCCAAAATTTTCAAAGTAGTCTGATCAGCTTTCGCTTCTGTTTTAATCTCATTTAGCCTCTGGCCCTTGATTCCTGTTTGATTAAAATGCAGGACGTGTGTTACAATCACCAGTCTGACAAAATAAAAGAGTCAATTTGGGACACTAGACCTCTTATTACCTAACCCCTAAATGACAGTCTTAAACTCCTGATAGTACGTAATCGAAATTAAAGTCTACAGACAAGTCCCGGAGATTTTTCTCAAAACTTTCGGTTACTTTTTTGATTCATATTGAACCACTCGAAGCCCACATTCTTCCACGTATCCCTGAATTTGCATCACGCTTCCTTGGTGGAATGATAACTGCTTGCATGCTACAACCATCCGTTTGTTATGTGACTTCCTATCTCGTTACATAAAATCAAGGCACAATTACATAGCAACATATGCAGCAAATAAGTATGATTATGAGTACAAAATATACAAAGTGATAAAAGCGAATGATGTCATTAGGCTACACAGCCACTGAGTTGCTGGGACAAGTTCATACAGTCAAATCTGCAGTATATCAAGTTACCGAATCCCTAAAACGCCTAAAAAGATGGTAAAAAGAAATGTTTTTCAGACGGACAGGAGATGTAAAACCGTCTTTGATGGAGTCTTGTCCTCATCTGGATGGCATTTTCGAAAACCTTTAATTGTTTTACCAAAAATCGTGAGTACAGAGAAGCGTATCTAATGCTTCTGGTGTAAACCATCTAGTCTAAAGAAGGAAACTCCAGTAAAATCATTAACCTACTGACAGGTCTTTGGGACAAGTTGTCAGTTAACTTGGATAACGACAGTAAAAACACCGGTAGACAAACAAGAGCGTGCTACGGATACAAAAATAGGGATGTCGACAGGTATACCATCGATGGAGCATCCATCAACACTAATGACGACGTGTCGAGGCTCAGCACCATCATTACGTCGACAGTATTAGACTCCCTAAGCAAACTCGGGTCTCCCAGCTCAGGGTCCCTGAACACAACAGTGGTTCCCAAAAACCCTGTGGTTGATTCGACCCATGTTAAGAGAGCCCAAAAGAACCAGGCATCACTGCCTAAGCCGAACAACCCAAGTGTTGCTGTACGGAAAATAACTGGTGATTTGGTCGCACAGTCTACCCCCAAGACTGTTCTTCCGGTCAATAAAGAGCCAAAGACTCAAAAACGCGCACTGACCTCCAAACAACAAGTTATTAAACCTGAACCCATCGTGAAACCTGGTAAATTAACAACAGTTCGTGACGATTCTCTCATTGTCATGAACCTCGTTGACAATCCTGACCTTCCTCTCAGTCTGCAGGACAAAAACGACAGGATGCTCTGGAGTGAATTAAACAAGAAGCTCGAACTTCCTAGAATAGAGCATTTGACGGTCACCCGGCTCACTCGAGGAAAGGATTCTAAGCATCTACATCACCCGAGGCTTCCCCGAGTAACACTTAAGAATGCTACCGACGTAGAGGACGTCTTGCTAGCAAGTCACTTGCTGAAATCCTATGGTAACGTAAGAATATTGCCCGACATACTGTACTCTGAGCGCAATATCATACGGAATATCCCTAAAGAATCTCGCGAGAAGTTCTTCCGTGGAAGAAACATAATTGTCCAAGGTATACCGGAAAATGCAGACCCTACTCAATCAAATTCTGACATCAGGGAATGGAAATTCATCAAACAGTCCTTGAGGCTCAAACACATACTGACTCAGCATGTGACGAGACTAGCCAAGAAGGACGGTGATCTTAGACCCCGTCTAATGATGATAACCTTCCCATCTTCCCACATGGCAGGCCAAATGAGGCTAGGACCAAGCACAAAGGCAAGTTCGAGCTGACCATTCCACTTGTGGACTGTCTAAATGATAAAAAAACGTGTAAATGACAGGGCCTACCACCTCGACAAACCTCATATAAGTGGGCTACCTGTCCATTCACATAAGGTTCATACAGAAAAACAGGACGAAGCTCACGCGTTCCAAATTGAAAGCATAAACTGCTTATATATGAACGCCGCGAGTCTACCAAACAAACTGGATGAATTACGTGAACTTAGTAACGCTAATAAGGCCCGTTTGATAGGAATACCTGAAACCTGGATATCTTCTCAGTTCTCGGACCAAGAGTTAGCATTACCTGGGATGACTTTGTTCCGCAACGACAGAGAAACAGGAATTGGGGGCGGAGTAGCCATATACATAAGTTCTTGCTTGGAGGTGCATCAAGTTCACAACCTCGAGTTTAACAATCTTGAGGAATCCATATGGTGCTCTGTAAGATTGTCAAGTACTTCGAGGTGTCTAGTCGGTGTCATTTACAGGAAGTCAACTGCCGACATCGAGTACGATAGTCGTATGCTGGAAGGACTATCCCGCTCTATCCGTCTCGGTTTCACACACATCCGGATTCTAGGGGACTTTAATCTCCCTAGAGTCAACTTCGCGGAACACACGTACACTGGAGGCGATAACTCAACTGAAGCTCGGTTCTTCAACCTCATCGATGACTTGGGCTTATATGAAAATGTGAGGTCGGCAACTCGTTGGAGAAACAGTCAGACACCATCGCGTTTAGACTGTGTATTCACTAACGAAGAATTCCTAGTCGACAACCTCTCAATCCTGGCTCCTCTGGGAAAGAGCGATCATGCCGTCATAGCCTTCAGTTTTGTCATCAAAACTAAGCTAAGGTATCCCAACAATAATTTGCGTTGGAATTTTAAACGGCTGAATGTGCCAGCTCTACATGACTATCTACAACAGGTAGTTTGGGATGTTCACCCTCAACTCGATGTGGATGGTCATTGGGACTTCTTACTGCACACGCTCTTATGTGCTGCAAACCATTCAGTTCCTCAAACGGTTCCCAAAAGCTGAAAGCCACCTACAGTAATCAAGAACCGTACCCTTCACCTGCTAAGCCGCAAAAGGCACTGTTGGGCGGAATACAAACGAACTGATAACGATGGAGCGTATAGACAATATAAACATATCAGGAAC